CTTTTTATGGACTGCATGTGCGCAGGGAAAGATGCCTGTCGCGAAGGGGTTGATCGAGCAGCTGAAGAAGCACTTCACCGACAACGGTCTGGCCGGGAAAAACAAGAGCAAGGGGCATAAGCACTATGTCTGCAACTACTGCGAGACCCGGTTCGTTGGGTCGGCTACCAACCTCAGGGACCAGTTCTTGAAGGGCAAGTGTAGTATTGATCGTGTCACCCGCCCGTTGGACGCAGATGAGAGGTTGAGGAGGATAGAGGGGATTCGAATGGGAACGATGCAGGCGGAATCCCTTATCGCAGGGAAGGGAAGTGCGGGTGCGGGTCCTAGCAGTGCTCCCTCTCAAAGCAGCTTGGTCGTCCCATCCCCGACGGCGAGCAGGCCCCCTGTTCTGGCTGTGGGTGAGTCAAGCACACCCGCGACATCCGGGAACGCTGCACCGTTGGTCGGACGGCTGACGAGGCAAACCCTGATCGAGGAAGCAGACAGCATCATCACCCAGAATGAGCAGACCAGCAGACACCTGGACCGTTTCCTGATCTGCACGAACCAACCCTTCAGCTTGGTCGAGAACTACTACTTCCTTCAGCTCATCGATGCAGTTAAGAAGTGCCATCCTAGTTGGTGGCCGTGCAAGAGGGACGAGATGAGGACGAAGCGGTTGGACGGCAGCGCAAACTTGTTGGGGCCAACATGATGAGTCTTGTGAGGAAATGGGAGAGAACGGGCTGCATGCTGCAGATGGACGGGTGGTCGGATAGGAGGAACAAACCACATCTCAACGTAATGGTTTCCTCCCCGGTTGGCACTGTGTTTTGGAAGTCCGTGTGCGTGGAAGGGAAGGAGAAGGATTCAGCAGCCTACTTCAAGCTCCTGGAGGGAGTCATCGAAGAGATCGGTCCGCAGTCCGTTGTCGGCGTCGTGATGGACAATGCGAGGGTCTGTTTGAAGGCCGGGAAGATGGTGGAGGCGAAGTACCCCGGGATTTTCAGTGTCGGCTGCACGGCCCATGCGTTGGATTTGGCGCTGGAAGATATGTACAAGCGAATGGACTGGATAAAGGAAGTCGTCGACAAGGGCAACCAAGTGGGGAAGTTTGTGACCAACATTGACAAGGTCCGCGCGATGTTCAACAGAATCGCAAACGCCCAACTCAAACGCCCAGCCGTCATGAGGTTCGCAACGAACTTCGAAATGCTGGAGTCGCTAAAGAGAGGGATGACTTCACTCGAGTTGTGCGTCGGCAACCTGGCATGGGTTGAGAAGTTGGTGAGGGCTGAGCAGGTGGAGGCATTCAATGCTGTCACGTGCACCATCGTGGACAATGGCTTTTGGGACGAGGTCGACAGAGCAATCGCTGTCATGGAGCCCGTGGTCAAGTTGCTGCGTTTGGTGGACAGTCCCGGAGCGACTTTCAGCAAGGTGTACTTCGGCATGGACGAGATCGTCGCACAGATGCGGATCCTCGACTGTTTGACGGAGGACGAGAAGTAAGCGGTGGAGAACATTCTCATGGATCGGTGGGCGTTCTTGACATCCGAGTTGCATTGCGCTGCAGCCTTTCTCGATCCAGAGTATCGGTCGCTCACCATGCGGGATACGGAGATCCGCGAGGGATTCAACATCTGGCTCTATTCTTGGGCGCCACCGGAGCTACTGAATCAAATCAGCAGGCAAGTCGATTGTTGGGTCCGTGGATTGGGCACTTTCGAGACACAAAACGCAAAAGAGCAGGCCAAGCTGCAAACACCAGCACTTTGGTAGGAGGCGTTCGGGGGATCATTGGACCTTCTCCAACCGCAAGCCATCAAGCTTCTCGGCCAGGTGAGCTCTTCGGCCGCGTGCGAGTGCAACTCGAGCTTGCATCAGCTAATATACGGACAACGGCGCACCAAACTCCTGCCCGAGAGACTGGCGAAGCTCGTTTACAGCAATTGGAACATCCAATTGACCACGAAGCGGGAGCGCGGAGAGACGGAGGACAGCACCATTCCTTGGAAGGACAATGACCTTGCGAAGACGGAGGTGGAGGAGTGGTATGAAGACTGGACAAGGCAGGTCATTGATGGAAGAGTCGCTGATGCAGCCGCGGAAGAGGTCGCAGATGAAGATGATGAAGATGGCCCTTTGGTGCGCACGTGGCAAAAGAACGACGCGGAGGACGACCTCGCGGACGAGGAGGATGACATCGCCCTGCTCGGCTCAGTGCAACGCACCTGGCATGCGAACACGAAGTCGGGGAAGCACCGAGTCCGTGAGCTGCGCCGAAAGTCGGGCCTCCAGGAGCCCGAACCTGCATTCGTTTACACGCTGGAGGGCCGTGACCGTGCCATGAGCGCACGACAAGCGGGCGATTGGGTGCACGGGAGAGAGGAGGCGTCTGGGTGTCGGCGACGGAAACGAAAGGCAGCAACACCTGAGCCCGATGAAGCAGGGCCAACGCGCAGCAACACCCGAAAGGGGAAGAGTCAGGAAGGAGGCAATGAAGTCGCGCCGTCGAAAAGGAAGAGGGGGCTGCCTCCTCTTTCACCTGCAAAGAAGGCTGCGAATGTTGCAGCGAAGGTTGCGAAGAAGGCCGCAGAAGATGAAGAGGCTGCAGCCAAGGCAGCAAAAGGATCCGGTGCAGCAGATGCAAGGCCGAAGGGGAAGCGTGGGCACCGGGTCATGGAGGACGACGATGACAATTTGCAATCGTCTTCATCGTCATCTTCCTCCGAAGAAAGAGCCCAATCGTCATCATCCTCGTCATCATCCTCGTCATCATCGGAGGAGGCTTCCGAGGATGAGCAGTCACAGGAGGAGTCTGGCGGGGAGCACGAGTCAGGGGAGGAGGCACAGTAGACCGCACAATCCGCACATCACGTAGATACAGTCGATTGTCCAATGGACGAGCAGTCACAGTAGTGTTCACATTGTTGCCTGCTTATGAAAGGCCAAACTTTTAACAATCTAAATTCTGATGAAGATTTCGGAAATTTTCAGTCTTTCTCACTGATTTGGAAGTGTTTCAGTTTGTGTTCTTTATAATTCATTTTTGAACTTTCGTGAGTTCAGTTTCTTGCTGCAATATGTGTGTGTCGAAAGGCCGTGATGACGGCGTGATCTGATTTGCTGTGATCTGATTGTCATGTCTCCTGTTTTTTCCTCTCGTGATGGCTGTGTGGAAACTGTGGACATTGCTGCCGCCATTGCACATGCATCACGACTTACAGGTGAGTTCCGCATCCTGCTAGAGAAAAAGAAAAGAGAAAAGAAGAAAAGAAGAAAAAAAAAAACAAGAAAGAAAAAATGTTGGTCTGTGGGATGTGTTATTTGAACTTGTTTCAACTTTAGAGTTTCAAATTTTAATATTATTTTATGCTTTGCGGCAGTTGCATCAGCTGTGGAATGTGCCATTCTTCCCTGTGGGCAGTGTGAGGTCTGGTTTTCTGATCGTTTTCCTTACCTCTCTGCCTTATGGCTGCGTGCAAGTGGGTCCTTGCGACACACGGGGACGGGGGAAGCCAGCCTGTCAACCACGTGGCTGGCCTTGCAGCACCTGAGCCTGATGGGGACCTTCACATGCACAACTAGGAGGGGGGGGGGGGGGAAATCACCCCCCCCCCGAGCGCACCGTGCGCAGAGATGCGCGCGGCACGCGCACGACCCGGCGCGCTGCAATGACGCGCACCGCATCGCGCACTGCGCACCGCATCGCGCACTGCGCACTGCGCACCAATGCGCGCGCACGGCGGGGTGGCCTATAGAGCGTTGCGCAGCGCACAGCATCAATGCGCCGCAAGTATGGTTCAAACGATTCTTGAGTCGGTCAATCAATCATACAGTAGGGGTAGTTGTTAACTTGGTTGCGTAACTTGGAATTTTAACTTGGTCAAGTCAGTTAAAAATGGTGCTTAACTCTGTCCACAAGTTTTCAACTTACAACATCATCTTCACCACCGGAAATAGAACGCTTGGTCCTTAACCCACAAGTGGTTAACCGGGACCCCAACTTTTCAGGCCCAGGTTAACACTCCCTACACTGAAAACTTGTGAAACACTGAAAAGTGCATTTGCCTTTTTTTTTTTTTCTTTTTTTTTTTTTGGTGACCTGTTTTWTTTTTGGTCAAGGTCTGCGTGTGCCAAGTTTGGTGTTCGTTGGGGTCTTGGAGACAACTTGATCCATTTTTTTACTTTTTTTTTTTTTTGCTGTTGGCTTTATTTGGAGTCCACTATATGGACTTGTGACAAGTCTGGTAGGCTTGAACCACTAGTACCTTTCCCGCGTGGGAAAATAGGGAAAACTGGCAACTCCTGAAAATCCGGAGGCCGGGCCCGACGACAACCGAAACGACTGCCATTGATAAATCTGATCGGCGGCTGTCGTTTCGTTTGTCGTCGGGCCCGGCCTCCGAATTTTCAGGAGTTGCCAGTTTTCCCTATTTTCCCACGCGGGAAAGGTACTAGTGGTTTAAAAGGTGTGGGAGGTTTGTAATAACGACCCTGAAAAAAAAAAAAACTGAAAATTTTTAGGGCTCTGTTAACCTCTTCTCCCTTATCCCAGTATCTAGACTGAACGTTGCCCCAAATTACAGCTCTCTATAATGACCAGGCATTCGATTCGGGTGAAGACGGTAGATTAACTAATTCTTAACTCAGTCAAGTAGGTCTTAAAGCTCCAGTACATTGCCCCAGCCACGTTGAGAAGCCGATTGAGCCTCTCCTAAAATTCCGCGGGCTCGCTCGCGCGCTCGCCGTCGATAAAATAGATCAACAGCCGGGGTCGGGTTTCGGAGGCCCGCTTCCTATCTATGGCATGTACTGGTGCTTTAACTCCGTCAAACAGCTCTTAACCCACTCAGGTACTTCCTAATTCAACCACATGAGAGCTGACAGATTTCCCTCCAAACTGTGTGAATGATCGACGCAATCCACTGCCGTTGGTCGATGATCAACGATCACTGTTCAGCAATGACTCTTGCAAGTAACCTTTTGAATGGGTTTTTTTTTTTTTTCCATTTTGAATGGTGTTTGACCATTTTTTCTTTTTGTTTTTTATAACAGCTATGAGTGAAACGAGATGAAGGGGAAGAGAGGGGGAAAAAAAGGAAAAGAAAAGAGAAAAAGGTTCAAAAACTCAGAAAAGAGATGTAATCACCTTTCTCTTGGACTTGTCTTTGACGATACTGATGCACCTCCTCCATGAGGCAGGCTTTGGCTTCTGCCTCGCGTCTCCAGACTGCCTCTCTTTTGGCCCATTGCACTTCCATAGCCTGCTTGATCATAGCATTGAGCTCCGCATCGCTCTCTTTCTGGAGCTTCATCATTAGCTCCAGATGTTCCTTGTATGCCTTCGCTTCGGCTCGCTGCTTGGATCTCAGATCTCTCTCCCTCTCCTCCGACTCTCGGTCTATCCTCAGGGAGAGCTCGATCATCTCACGATCCATCTGCTTCTCCGCTTTCAGTGCGGCCAGGCGATCACACTTTCGGAGCTCGTTATACGCCTTCACTTGGCGACTAACCTCTATGTTCCTCTGGCGTGTCGCGTCTTCCTTCCTCTTTGCCTCTTCGTCTTGCTCCTTCCATCTCTGCTTCATGTCTTCCATCTCCTTCTCCGCTTTCTTTCTCTCTTCTTCTTTCAACACCTTGATCGCCTCCATCTGCTCATCGAGGATGCGCAGCGCTTCTGCGTCCAACTCCCATCTCCTCCTCTCCTCGGCTTGATGTCTTTCCTCTTGCTTCAGCCGTTCCCTCTTCACCATCTCCTCCATAGCCACCTTTTCTTCGCACTCCCTCTGCCTGATCAGCTGTCTTTCTTCTAGCTGTTTCGCGCGCGCTTCCAGTGTCCTAATGATTCTGCATTCCATCTCCAGCACCCGCACTTCTTCACTTTCATCTCGCCATCGCCTGCGCAACTGCTCCTCAGCATACTCCGCCATCTCCACCTCCCGCTTTGCCTTCAGCTCGCGCGCACGCTCCGCGAGCACTGCCAGCCGTTGCTCTGACGTTTCCCCCCACCCCATAGACTTTAGCTCGTGCAGCACCTCGCGATCATCCTGCAGCAATCTCTCTGTAAGCTTGGACCGCCGCACTTCCACCATCTCCTCCCTCTGTCTCTTCATCTCTTCCACTTTTCTCAAAATCATCCCATCTTTGATCACCTTATCTGTTTTCACTTCCCAATCTGCGTACAGATGCGCATTCCTATACTCTTCCATAACATACCCGCGGTGCAGCTTTACGTCCTCTTCTCGCCGCTCTCGAAAAACGATGTCCTCATCTATATGCTTCGCCAGCCGGCGGCGCATGAAGTCCACCATCTTGACTTTGACTATTTCACTCTTCCTCTTTTTCTTCTTTTTCGTTCGGAAAAAAAGAAGAAGAAGAAGACACTGTCCTTCAAAAGAGGAGAAATAAAAAACGAACAAAAGATCCGGAAAGCCTCCGCCGGAACCACCGACCAAAAAAAACAACCGCTCTTTACCGTTCTCCGTTCACCTTCTCCCCATCTCCATGTGCCTCTACGAGTCGGTAAAGAATTACTAAAAATGGACAAGCAGAGAAAAGAGAATAGCAAGGTAGTCCTTCAGGCCATCCAATAAAAAATTGGAACGATACGGAGAACGAAGATTAGCATGGGCCCTGCACAAGGAGGACACACACACATCGAGAAATGATCCAAATTAAGGGAAGAAACAAAGAAAAACTTGAAAAAGTAATGGACGCACCTCCCTCTCTCCCTGATCTTAAAAAAAGCACACACGCACGCACGCACACATGCACAAAGGGGGTGTGTTGTTTTAAAAGACCCCAGATTCTCTCTCTCATTCCCTTCACAAATCATCGCAATTCCTTGCAGTGTATATCTCCAAACGGTCCCCCTTGTCAAACAGCCCCCCCCCTTTTTTTTTTTTTTTCGGTCCCCACCAATARATARARCAGKKGKTTATAAARMAAAAAAAAAAAAAAAAAAAAAAAAACATGCCCCCCTTAGTCTTCCAAAATGCTATCCAAGTGCCAGATCCTTCCCCCTTATCGACTGTGTGGTCCCAGCTCCTATCCACTCACTCGCCACGAGTTCGGAAGCAAATAAAAGAGCAGAACACACGAGCACCCAGCTCTCGTAAAGCGCGTACACCAGTTTGAGCTGTGATTGAAACGAGCACCTGTAATGACCCGCCAAAACACAGACTGAGAACACTGCTGATTTCTGGGATTTGCCACTGGAATGAATGCCTTGCTGAGATTCCCGCATTCTGCTGTGGTTTCCAAGTCTATGTGTGTGTGTGCGTGCCTGCTGGTTTGCATGCCTGTCTGAGTGCTTGTCGGCTGAGTGTGTGTGTGACCCGCAAGGGTACTTGTTGGTTGAAAGGCCCCGCAGGGCCGGTACTTACCTGTCGCCGTGACTTTGAGGGTTGCAGCGGGGAAAACACTCAAGTAGCGGGGGTAGGCCCGCGACACTTAGAGCAGCGGGGAAAAACACTCAAGTAGCAGGTCGGCCGGTACCACTCAAGTAGTGGTAGGAGTGTCGGGTACTGGAGTTGGCATTTTTAGAAGCCCAGTAGCGGTAGGTTAGAGGTAGGCCGGTACCAGTCCAAGTAGCCTGAGTCTAGGGCCTGTCCGGACGATAGCAGAGCCTGCAATGATGTTTCCCTCCGAAAGGGAGGAGGTACCGGTTGCTGGGAGGCCGCTCGGCCTAGGAAGTCACCGCCCAAGAGGCCAGTAGGCCGCTATATCTTCCGGAGGAGCAAACAGCTCCTCCTCATTTGCGGTATGCAAGGATTGGCGATATGCTGCTGAGCCAAGCGCTGGACTTGTGCAGCGCTGCCTGGAGGTGAAGAGCAGCTGGCCGTTCAGCCTGGCTGAGGCGAGCAGCCCAGCTTGAGGAGGAGGAAGACGGGAGCGGAGGAGGAGAGTGGCGAGGTACCTACCTGGAGTGCTTGTCGGCTGAGTGTGTGTTTGACCCGCAAGGGTACTTGTTGGTTGAAAGGCCCGCAGGGCCGGTACTTGCTATGGTGGACACCATCTTCATCACCTTGTTGGGGCTGCATCTGGAAGGCCCCAGTTGGGGTAGTGCCGCACCAAGGAAGCTCGAGGCAGAGTCAGGATTGGCGGCTTAGTCAGCAGCGGCATAGCTGCTTTGGGTTGTCCTTTGGACAGGAGTGCAGCGACATAGCTGCTTTGCGTTGTCCTTTGCACAGGAGGGCAGAGCCCTCAGTTGTCCCCCATAGCCTAGGCTTGTGAGAGGTGGAAGAAGGTGGGGAAGCCATAGCTATGGTGGACCTATGGTGATGTCAGCAGTAAGAGGGAACTTCGGACATTGATTCTGGTTCATCCGCTCATTGTTATTATTATTATTGGAAGAAGAATAAGATTGGCAAAGAGAAGGAGGAGGAGGAAGGTGGAGAGAGAAGGGGGATTTGTCATTGGTCTTGCTGGTGTTCATCATCTTCTTCTTCTTCTTCTTCTTCTTCTTCTTCTTTCTCTCTTCTTTGGTCTCTATCTCTTTGCAAGTGCTTTCATTTCTTTCGCAATTGGGTGGCATTGTCTTTCATTGTGAATCTGCACTTTGGGAATGACCAGGATCGTAACACACCAAAAGATGACACTTGGAGGTCCAAGATATCACAAGCTGACTCCTAAAATCCCAGAAAACATAATACTCTCACCCTCCTTCCCGCTCAACCCCCCCCCCCCCCCCCCCCCCCCCCTCCCCCCCACTTCGTATCCGCTCACCTGTTTTCTGGGGGATTCGGAGAGTGATGTTGCAGGCTTTCACGTGTTCCTTGACTGCGGTACGAACACGGTTTCCACCATTCGCCACTACCGCCTTCCCCCGAATACAACATATGGTCATTATCGCTGTATTTGGTGTATCTTTCAGTCTGAATACAACTATAATTGTCGTACGTTCTATTCAGGGGAAGAAGGCATGTCTTCTTCTAACCCTCTTTCCTGTCCTGTGGACAGATTCACAGTACTTCAACAAAAGTGTGCAGCTCCTTCTGCTCCAGAAGGCTTCTTGTTTATCCGAACTCGATAATACCCCGTCAAGGTCGGGCTTTGACCTCTCAGAGAGTACGTCATTTGAAATTCAACTCTCTCTCTCTCTCTCTCTCTCTCTCTCTCTCTCTCTCTCTCTCTCTCTCTCTCTC